CATAAGTCTAAATCAGAATAGTTTTGGCCCAGTTTTTCAAGGTTTTCGAAAATCACTCTTTGAAAAAAGTAAAAAACAGCATCAGAAATCGCATTCTTACGATTCCGTTAAAAAGATTTTTAAATATTTTTATGCAGATTTTTTAAGTTTAATCTGTTTTGTCATCTGAGGGGACTTTTTTCAAAAAGTTCTTTAATAAATTATACTTATTAATAAAATTCTCCATTTTTAGAGGTATTTTCAAATCGGTCCAATTATATATATTTTTCCGAAATATTTTGGTGGACGTCTTAAAAACCGGCGGAAAAACCGAAAGTACACATTGTAAATTATGCAATAAAAAGTGGATAGGCAATTTAAAAACAAAGAGCAGTGGACGGTCGCGCTGCTGGCTGACCTTTACCCTTCTGCGACAGGATACGCGAAAAAGAACAATATACCCCGAAATGTACGAGTATGAATGTGGGTACGCCGTCAGACAACCCGTTAATACCCACGCACCGCAGAGCAATAATAGGTTTTTTATGGCTACAATCCTTTTTCACCTTCTTCCGCGTAAGAAATTGAGTGAAGTAGTTGGAAGACAAAGCAGTTTGGTGACAGTGGACGTCTATCTTGGTGATGAAAGCGAGAAAATCGTAGGTTGTTTACAGCTACAAATTGCCTTTTTTGCAATGTGTAAAAATGTGAAAGAAGCATAGTTTGGTAAATGACACGAAATGCGTGTTGACGGCAAAGGCTTCCATTTAACTGTGTGTTTAGAAGAATTGCTTAGGTTCGCCGCTACCCCGTTAGCTGTGTGCGACAAGGTCGCCAGTGAAAGGATTGCACAAAAATTGCATCTTTTTTGGCGGGTAGACCTTAAACTATTTTTACTGCTGCTCGTTTATGAAATACATATTTTACGCTTAGTTAAGACAATACGGTAGAGTTGCTCGAAGTCCTTGAAAATCTTGCATGAGTTTTGTGGTAAAGGACAACTCTTTTTTTATAATTTAGTAAGGAATGGGTTAAATAATAGCGGCTGTTTTTTGTATTCAATTTTTTTTAGGGAAAGTGAAAGTATGCAATTTAAGCAGGGTTACTGAAAAGAGTTAGGTCCATGGCTTTGTATTATTATTATTATTATTTTTGTAAAGAGAACGGGTTGAAGGTTGCAGCGATTAAGCGAAAGCCTGCTAATCAATAAATTCCACGAATGGAATGTATTATCGAAGAGATGCAACATTTTTGCGGAGACGAAAGCAAGAGTATCTGTTGAAGGTTGTTGGCGCGCTACGATAACCCATTCCAAAGAAACGCCGAAAATATATCCTTTTCCAGCATTTTAAACTCGCACTCTTGCGCTTTTCCTCTTTTACGCAAGCAACCCTTTCCTTCACTTAATACCTGCTTTTTTAATCAGTTCTTCTTCTACATATTACTCACCTATCTACTATCCCGCAAACATTCACATAACCTACCTGCTAGCAGTACGTTTGTAAAATTCTCACTATTAGCTGCGCTGCGAAAGGATTTGCATATGCACGCATTTAAGCCGCGTTGCTGCAACAAATTTGCAATAAATTTGTCACAGCCCACTATGTCGTAAGATGCGCACACTAACAACGCCTTTTCTTTTCGTACTAACAGCAAACAATTCGCAACACAGTGTTTGCAATAAAGTTCGCCTTACGGGTAGGCGTGCCGCAATACATTCACAAAAATATTCGCCGAGCGCATTTCTTAAAGGATTTAGTATTTGCGCGGAAGGATTTGCTCAAAAATGGTAGGAAAGGATTCACAACCGGATTTGCACACTACATAACAAAATCCTGCTGTGTAGAGGCGGTAGCTGCATTTGACCTTAAAAGTCCGTACACTAAGCCGCTCAGGGCATTTTAGGAAACATTTTATACTTTTATACATACGCGTAGTATTCGTGTATTCTCTTTGCTGCCAACTACCAAACTACTAAACTAATCTCAAGTTAATTGTTAAGGCGACGCAGTAGTAAAGTAGAGCAAAGTAGGCGCGTGATCTTTGTTCTGCAGACAAAAGTATAACAGAAAACGCACTGAAACGTATTATGGCGTTTGCATTGTTTTGCACTGAACCTTGAGCTACGCAAATACATAGAGTTCGAAAAATGAATGCTCGCTCTATTATATGGCTTTAACGCGTGTTAATTGTAACAGCGAGGCTGGAAAAAAGTCGATTGCGTATTAACTTTGATTGTTAAGGATGCTTGGCAGCGCGGCAAAGTGCTTGTTTCTCAGTTAATTCATTGTTTATTTTGAGGTTAGGCACGGCGGAGGTCATTAAGACTTTTAATATTTAAGGCGTGCCATTTTCTGTTGTAACTTTTGCAGTTGAATTGCATTAATTGATATAGAGCTGTAATGAAAAAACCCCTGCAGGGGGTTCCGCGTAGGTGGAACTACGCGCTTGACAGCCTTAGGGTGCCCAGTCAAAGGCTACCAGTACTGAGTCGGGCCCATAGTACGGCAGAAGTTTAGATGGGTCTCGAGCGCGACCAAGATGGACAGTGTGGTCACCACACAATGCCCATTGGTACTGAAGTGCTTGCATTTTTCAGGGCGCTGATCAAGGCATTTTGAATTGATCCGTTGTGCTTAAGGACACCGTGATGTTAAGTTAGTTTGGCAGGTAATCACGATATATCTTATACACAGCTATAATGAAAAAAGTCTTCACTTTGACACTATTGTCATGGTTATGGAGGAAGCTGAGTTTGGTGCGGAAATATTATTTTTTTTATCCAACAAACAATACTTTACCATAAATTAAATTTATTCGTTCATAAGCATTGTGTAAACTCGCTTTTGCTTTCAGATGATTTCCAGTGCGATTGCGCCCAAAAAGCTCTATTCTAGGAAACTAAGGTCCTTATTCTGTATCACGAACGATAGCAAAACGAACGATTCGTCTGCAGACGACAACCTCTCTGATTGCGATTTTAAACTCTATCGGTCGTCTTCGTCTTGCTTTTCATACATTACGTTGCAATGGTCTCGGTTGCGTTTAAACCGGTTAAAATGATGCCGCCGGACTAATTTTTGAAGCATTCCTCTGCAGACGAATCGTTCGTGTTGCTTATCGTTCGTGATACAGAATAAGGCTGTAAGTCTTATTTTACAGAAGCTTTATGTGGGTAGGCGGTTGACTTCTCCTATTTCCGCCTTTGTTACCCTATAACAAGAGAAGCCAGCAAGTATTCCACCGAGTACTGCGATTTCATCCACACGTCCTCCTAACCCAATCTACCCTACCACATTATTCTATAATTATGCGAGTCTATTATTGAATCCATTGTCATGAAATCTACGAATATGATCGATCTACAAAAGATTTCGAAAATTTTCCTATTAACGAGATGATGCGTTTGTTGTTCATGTAAAAGTTCCTTAAAAAACTTTAGGGGGAATGTTGCTGAAGTGACAGTCCATGGTCAAACATAAGACTGGTTAGTTCCGTTAGCATAGAATCGAATAGTATAGCAAATGCTTTTCGAAAACTAAGAGATATGCAACTGAAAAGTATTTCTGGTCGAGCGTGCACTGGAGACTCATAAAACCGCCACTCTCAACTTACAGAGCACTGTCCGATTGGCATTCACACTGTGAGACTAAATATCACATATATTTCTCACTGTTAAAGCTCTGTTGTGATCTTAACTTCTTGGAATGCACATTCGCTATCTATCCCTTAACGGCTCACCGGGACTAACATCGGCCGTCTGGGAAATTTCGTTCTGGGAACAATTTTTTGCCACACATATCTTAGCAGTTGTATAAATGGTCCAATTGTGCCCTACCCATCCCGTGACAACCATATTAACCTAACCTAACCTTAGAAGGTTCTCTCTGCCGCACTGTTTTTCGTCATCACACTACTTAATGGACACCAAAAGAGCTTTGCCGCCTTGACTTTCCAACGTATGTAACTTTTTATCAGATGGTCAAGCGTCGACCTGCCGGGGCCGTAACATAAAAAGTTCGATAATGAATCTGTTACATTAAACACAATTTTCTTCATACCAAAAACCTAACCAATAAAATGCCGGGGAAATAATTAAACTACTTCTACAACAAAATTGCGTTTGTTTTCGAAAACTTAAAGCAACTTAACGACATATTCGGTAAAACCCACCATCTTAATAATGTACTTCTGTCTGGCCTTTAATGTAATTTCAAATACTACCAACGAAACCGCTTTTAGGGTTGAAAAGGTGTGGGGGAAAGTATTTTGCGAAAACATTCACTATTGCCGAAAATGTAACTGTATCCCAAACCCCTAAACTAACGCCATTGAAACCACATTTAAAGGTAAAGTAACGCTAGCAAGGCACGGCTTGCTACCCCTTCAATGGCAAGAATTTTGCTTTGCTTGGAAAACAGGTCAATCAACAAACACTAGAGAGTACGCAGGAACTCTTCTAGTCATTCGTATGTACTTCCCTTTGAACAGCAACGTGCGCTCATTTCCTGTGCTCACGAAACAAAGTCGCAATATTAAAATACCGTTTGTTATGCTATGTTAGCATAGCATTCGCAAACAAAATATGTATGTACTATGAGAGTTCATATTTTGAGCTGAGTTTAATCTCAGCAGTAAATAAGAGTGCGCTTACTGGTACCTGCTGGCTTAGAGTGAGAAGAGAAATATCACACCGCTTGAGAGGAAGTGAGAGACCAAGTTGTCATTGTCAATGCCATTGTCATTGTGATAATCGTTTCGGCGGCGGCGGCGGCGGCGGCGGCTTAGACAAACAAACAAAATATCGAATATGGGTAAACGGTTAAACGGACAGACAGAATGGACTAGAACAAACAAAAGGATAGGCGTACGGATGGACGGACAGACAAACAGGCAGAGAGAGAGTGAGAAGCTGTGACTGCAAATTTAGTGAGGGTGCGCAAGCAAGTGTCGCGTATAAAAGCAGGAAGGGACTGGGTGTGTGGAGTAGTTATAGTCTGACAGCAGTAGACAACGGTCGTTGATAGATATCTTGCATGTGTAGCCGAACTAGAGTAGCACAAGTCGATAATTAAAATAGTGACATTTTCAAAAATAATCCGTGAATTTTCAGTGAAAGCATTTCAACACCGTAGTGTTTTTTGAAGAGCTATAAAAATGATGATACACGAAAAATTAATGACTGGCCAATTTCTGCTGGATTTCAAAAATGGTAAGTAAAATTCGTAAAAGAAACTCTGCATTTCAGTGAAATACTTCAGTTTGGTGAAACTATAAATTCAATAAAACACTCTTAAAAAATTCCGCTTAGATTAAAAAACAACTAACTAATGGTTATATTCTTTATTTACCCTCTCCAGATCACAACATATTACACTCGACGTCTTCACAACACGCGCGTCTCTCACACCAGCAGCCTCTCTATCCCCATCACCAAACCTACAGCCCAGGCCATCCGCTCTCACACCATGCGCTTCACCAAACTCAAACCGCCACGCTCACGCCAGCAAAAATTGAACAGCTCGAACTCTACTCCGCCTATGCTTACCGACAGCAGCAGCAACAGCAAGCGCTGATTGGTGGTGGCGGCAGATCACATGCCGAACGCACCACTAGCCAACGCCAATCACCAAGCGAGGTACTCGATCTTTCACGTCGCGATTCGGTCGAAACGACACGCAAGACACCTTCTCCCTACAATACGAACTCCAGCTTCGGCGCCGACTCCCCTGCTGGATCACCTACGAATAGCCAACTGCAGCCGCCGATGATTCCCTCAAACTTGCTTTACAGCGCACAGCAACAATTCAACCGGCTTGCGCCTCCGCTGGCTTCATTATATCCAGCGCTCTACTCTTCGTTTGGACAACTCACCAAAGAAAACACAGTAGCGACTTCTTCCACGACACCACCCATGGCTCCCTTGGCTTCAACAATTACACCGCCCGCCACCTCATCACCATTACTTGCAGCTCAATCACAAACTTCGCCGATCCCCAACACTCCACTTTCTGTCGCGCCTAGCTCCATGCTGCACAGCATCAAATCCGAAGATGAGCACATGACACCACTCTCACCAAGCTCCAGTCATGATGGTCGTAGCAAATCGCCTACGACCGAAACATTAGCAACACTTGCGCCAGCTAATCCTCCTACTACGCCCAGTGCGCTCAAGTCCACGCGTCCCTTCAAAGCTTTTCCACGTGATCCGCTCGTCATAGCGGCCAATTTTGCCGCCACCGATGTTCTGCTGGATAATCCACGCGTTGAACGCTACACTGAGTACCGCAAGCGCGTATTGGAGCAAATACGCAGTTGCAATGGCGGTTCACGCACTATCACAAATCCCAAGATGCGTCGCTTAAATTCGAGACGCAACAGCAACACAAGCAGCAATGCGCCCGAAGGTGGCAGCAGCGAGAATGACGAACGTCATGGCGGTGGCGCGGATGAGTCAAGTGATTGTGACTCATCATATGCCGGTGGACAGGGGGATAAAGTGAGCTCGTCGGCAAATGGTAACAACGCCTCCGCCAGCAACAACTCCTCATCCGGTGGTCAAATCAAAGACGCCGCCTACTATGAGCGCCGCCGCAAGAACAATGCAGCTGCTAAGAAGTCGCGCGATCGTCGCCGCATCAAGGAGGATGAGATTGCCATACGAGCGGCCTACTTGGAACGTCAGAACATTGAACTGCTTTGCCAAATTGACGCACTCAAAGCGCAGCTGGCCGCCTTCACGTCGAAGGTGGTAACCGCGTGAGAGAGTACGAAACGTTATAGAGCAAGGCTGCGTAGCAGGCAGGAATGGCGTCAAACGCAGCCATACACGAAATCCAGTTCTTTTAAGATTGAGGAGGTGTAGAGTTAGGCTAAGTCTGATTAGCGAAACTGTAAATATTTATTTTGTTGTGATTTTGGGGTATACGAATTTTTCAAAATTAGTATCTAATAGAAAATTATGTTTAGAAAAAATATGTAGTAGATACTTAGTTTGTAATTGGAAATTAAGAAATATATAATCTTAGTAAAAGACGAACATTTTATTATAGTCGTATCCGGTCTTAAAATTTAAGACTAACACAGACCTGAATTTGGATCAAATTTATTTATGTGTATATAATAGTAAAATTCTATTCTACATATAATAAGTAAAACATAAATTTTGGATATAAACGAATACGTTTTTTTAAATTACTTCGTTGAGTCGGCCTCATGGAGAAAAGAGAGAGTAGGAATAAGTACCTTTGATTACATCTGGACTATTCTTGGGCAGAAGTGTCCGACTCGTGTCAGCTCAGCGAATGTTTGTCGAAAACCAAGACATGTGCAAATGCAAAGTTTTTCTTGCGTGGACCGGAGACGGTCAAGGGACTACGACTATGTTAAAAACAACCAGCGTGGTTGGCAAAGATTTAGTATGTTGTGGAGCCCTATATCCGATGGAACTTGCACAGTTGACCATGCGTAAAGAAAGTTAACTCCCGTTTCCTGTTGTTGGTGGTGTAGCAGAATAAAAATTCCCCAAAGAGCTTTTGGCCAGATATAGATCTGTTACGTTCCGTTTTTGTATACTGGACTGTCGTGGGAACGCCTGTTTCCCATTCGTTGCAAGAGACACCCCGCATTTCAGCGTGGCTGCCAGCCGGTCAATGCCCAGTAAGAAGCATTATTAGCCAAGCAACGTCAGGTCTGTCGCCATGCGCCACCTATGACCCGATTTATGAAGATCGGAGAGGAAAAATTTCCTGTATAAACGTACATATTCAGGTCCGATTAAATGTGAAATCCGATGCTCAACTAAGACTAATGTGAAATTCTCGATAGTTTACTCATCAGCCCCCTTAGTTTAGATAAAGCTGCGATGAGCAGGGCATCAAATCATTTTGGAGCGGTGGTGGGCATCAGCTTTACCGCGCGCAAAGCTCTTTCAAGCTTTCTATACTAAATGTTTACAAATCTTGAAGGAGCTTTGCTCGCGGACGAGACGGTGCCTACCGGTGAATCCTGGCGGAGATCTAGACGATTCTCGACGGAAGAAGGACCTGTGAAATTTCGTTTCATCAAGTGTATAAATTATTACCTGGTTTACCTTGGAAGGCTATCAAGAAATTATTTGCGCTCAATCTGAATCGGCTTAAGCCTAAAAATCTCAGGATAGCAGGAAACGCAAATGGAGAATCATTCTTAGCCAAATCATGATTGTATTAACCATCGCTACTAATGCAATTGTTCTCTTCTCCTTAAGCATTAATAATAAGTAATTTAAAAAAAAAATCATAAAATATCTTAATTTAACGGAAGTTCTTTCCAATTTCGCATTAAAAACACAATCGTTTTTTCACTGTTTTTAATTTTATTGTTTTTTAAATTTTAATTGTGTATTTATTTTCAAATTTATTTAATTGCTAAATTTACGCTTAACGTTTTGCTTATTTCCTTAAACTATTATTTTTTATTATTTTTTTCACATACACAATTATTAATTCCCACGATTTATATTCTTTAAGCGACTGAAGTGATTTTCAGCACCGATCTACATACATAAATTTAACTTATAATTAGTATACGTAGTTAGTTTTATATTCTCTTTCATCGTGGCGGTAAAATTTATGAACCTAATAGAAAATATATATTAAAAAAGGTACAGAATTAGCGAATGCTATTCCGTTTTTGTTTTAAGTTTTCAATTAATCCTTATGATTCTCAAGCAGAAATGCCACACAGTGTGTCATTTTATGCTGCTAGGCGCCCAATTTATACACAGTTTCGGTTTGAATATATAGCTTTTATGCTTAACTTCCAATTTGTTTTCAATTCACTTATAACGTTTTTTAATTATACAGTTTATAGCTAGTCTGCATGCCACTTATTGGTGTTCTTTTTATTTATTTATTATTATTATTTTTTTTTTCAAACGCCTTGAACTAACTCAACAAAGACGTTAATGTGTAATTTCCCGTTTTTATGCATAATATGCATTTTTATTGATGAATCAACCAAAGTACGACAAACAATCGTATTTACATACTTATGTGCATATATGGATGTATGTAGTAAATATTAAACATATATATAGAAGGAAATAGAAAATTACATAAAGTAAAATCAAAAACTTCTCAAGAGGCCAAGGAAAGATAAAGTCAAATTAACAGCCACGATAACGCGACATTGGCCCATTGGTGAACATGCAGCTAAAATGGGCCTTCCATACAACCCTCGGACGACCGTAGCTGTAATCTTGAGGGAAGTAAAGAAACGGCCCTACACTAAATTTGCGAGTGCCCAGCATTGGCACGAATAAGGCAGAACACACTCGGGAGTTTATCCATTTAAAAACTTGGGGAGATCTCCAAATTCACCATTACTAACCTATTTAAATAGGTTCATTGGCGAATCCAAATGGTTTGACGAACCCAACGAATCATGAAAGCAGATAAAAATCATCAAAGGGTCCCAGAGAAAGCGAATAAAACTGGTGCTATCAGCACTAATTGGGCGCTGGGAATTTACTCAGGCCATGCTTCTATCAACCAACCAACCAACCAAAATAAAATAAAAACTAAATAAATAAAATAAAATAAAAATAAATAAAATATTATATTAAAACAAGTAATTTTTAAGCAAAAAAACAACTGACTTCAAATCTCTTATAAAAATTTAGGAGTATAGTTAATTTCCTCAAAATCCAATGATCGGATTGGTATGGGACCACCCGAGGCATCACCTTCCGATAGAAATAGAATTACCGAAGTCCAAAGTTATGCGGTGACATATGTATGTACATATATAAAGAAAAATATTCCGATGAATTGATCACCTGCTGCTTATTTGAAATCGGGGAAGAATAAAAATAAAAACAAAACTGTTAAGTGAAATAAAAAAAAAAAATAAAAAATAATTGCTAAGAAATTCTCTTAAGAAGTAGTAATGAAAAGATTTTTTTTCCGCATAAAATACTAAAAACTCTATAAACATGAAACTTCGCANACTAAGAAATTCTCTTAAGTAGTAATGAAAAGATTTTTTTTTCCGCATAAAATACTAAAAACTCTATAAACATGAAACTTCGCAAATATTTCTGGAAATATTTTTTCAAACCTTATCCACAATATTATTATTGCCTAGTTACATAGTTAAAAGATTCGCAAAATTGATTGTGTATTCCAACTAAACCTAACCACTGATTTTGATGTTAAAATTTAGGATAGGTTGGAATAGCTACGCTAATACAGATTGAAATTTAAAAAGATATACAATTTTTCTGTGCGAAATTTTCATTGGGGTTGTTGGATTTATTTGAAATTCATTGATTTTGTTTAATTTTGAAAAATTTCATTACTGATTGAACCATTTTTTTTTTATAGAATTTATTGACTTACGTAAGGCATCGAAAAATAGTTTTCTAGTTGTGGTATTCATAAGGGTGTCGTATGTAAGCATCGTATTGTTGTAGGTCGCAAACTGTTCGCATGCTGAATTTGACATAAATGAAACGCAGCCAACATCTGTTGATATCACTGAAGCCTAAAAGGCAACAACAAAAATGTAAACAAACGAAAGGGCATGTCAAAAAATTGTATTGTGTTTGCTACGGCAGTGACTGCCAATATTAGCAGTAACAGCTGATTTTAAAAACTGTCACTGCCACTGCCACTGCGGTATTGTATTTTGGGCTTAAATTTAAAAGGTTCGCAGGGTACTATTTATAGTCATATTAAGGCAGGTTTTCAACCCCTGGCAATTTGAATTCAATGCGAATTCGATTGAAATTCACTCGGAAGTGAATTGCCGAACGTACCTAATTATGAATTTCCATGGTTAAAAAAATAGCTGATTGTCCTCTAAACCAGCATAGCCAACTCATTTTTGAGAATAATCCGATTTCGCAATTTTTTTATTTTGTTATTTAATTTGAGTTGTTTTTTTTTTTAATATAGTTCATTCTTTGACGAGAATCGTATAAATCTAAATTTCCAACTTTGTGCAATTTAAAAAAAAAAAATAAACTCAAAAAACTTTCGTTAAAATTTCGAGCTTTATTATTACGTTTTTTAGAAAGATTTTTGAAAGTTTTGTAGCCTACCCATTTCTAGTATAATAAAGTACAAGTTTCAAGTGGCTAAAAATTTTCCGTTTAGATTTCTTTTTTCCCGAAGGTGTTGCGGGTTTCTTCCATATAAAAATAAATTGTGTTTATACGACAAAGAAAATTCTTAAAAACCAACGGTAATTAACATAATTTGCAAGGTTGCATAATCAGTACTTTTAGTTGCAGTTGCCTTTCTTATGCAACTTGTTTAACTCATTATGAAATTAATTAATTCCTCACAAAAAACAGTTCATCCCCCCATTGCCCACGTAAACTGGAATTCCCCACAAAAGAACGGTCCCTTCCCCGAGATACCTCACGCAAACTGAAATTCTTCGCAAATCGGGGAATTCCCCACGAGTTGGCTTCTTTGCTCTAAACATTTATTTAACCGTTAGAAACTTTACGACACTTACGACACTGGCGACACCTTGTGAACCACCTATTCTGGCATTTGCTCAACACTTTTTATCCAGAGAATTTTGTATTGTATTGTATCTAAAACTATAGCCAAGTTATATTCCACCGCTTTGAAGTAAAAACTTGCTCTACAATCCCAATAAACATAACCATAAAAACATAAAAAAATCACTTGAAGTAAAAAAAAAGCATAACAATGAGAAAACGTATGCGTTTAATTTATTCTAAATCGTAGTATTACTTTATTTTAAACTGTTTTTAAGTTTTTTTTTACACTACTTCATAATTATTTTGTATTCATTTTATTTCCTGCTGGACGCTGTAGAAAAAAAGGCTTGCCTATAAATACAATTCATACAACTGCACTACCTAGCCATGTAGCAGCTTGTTGATTCGGTTTTTTGCAAATATTTTAGTGTGTGTATGTAGTATGTAGGCCTGGTAAAAGTAGTTAGTAATAGTAACTTATTTTTAATTATCATTTTCTTTTTTTGTTATCATTAGTTTGTTTAGAATCATAAATAAGTGTTTAAGTGTAATACCAGTTGATTTTTTTTTTGTTCCGTATATGAATCAATTTTATTAATCAATAATAATAATTTTACATAATCATCAATATATATATATATTTATAAAGTTGTATAATACATATATACTATAGTTTACTACAACTAGTGTACATTCACGTTGCTAATAGGTTGTACACGCGTGTACATACACCACTTTAATTATACGGGTGCATGTACATGCATACTATGTTGTATTGCATTTAAATGTTGTATTTATGTATGTACTTTTATTAGAATTTTATTTTATTTTATTTTTTTTATACATATTATAACCCCCTGGACCCACATACACAATGAAGAATTTATGGTTTTACTTTTAATTAAGTTCCTTNTTCTGCACATAAAACCCGATTTAAAGCGCATATCAATTCAGAAGTTTTTAAAAAATTGTACATACATTTTTTAAAGAAACTCATAAACTTTTACAGCGCTAACTTAAAATATTCAATATTTACTACAACTACAATAAATGAGTTTTACAGCCAATTTCGCAAAAGCAATTTAAATAAATGATTTTAATTTTTTGAATTTTATATGAAAATTGACAAAATAAATAATTTTCTATTTAAATTGCTGGTGAAACCCCTGATTCAATAATTAAAGGTTTGCTCACTAGTGACATTACAGTTTTGACACTCCCATTGAATCATCGCTGAAACCGGCGGTTAGGTTATTACTTTAAAAAAGGTAATCTAATAAATTTTGGTAAAGTAAATAATATGAAGCTTCAAGCTTCGATCATCATTTTTCAAATCCAAACGTATCCTCGGCACCTTTTCAAATACTAGTTGACGGCTACAGTGCCAAAAATCCAAGATTTTGACAAGCGCAACCAAAGTAACAAATTCGAAATTATCGCATTTCCCAAATTAAAAAAAGAAAACACAAATCGAACCTGTCCATGCGGCTTCGTTGTTGTTACCAATTTGAAATTCATGAAAAGCAAAAACATTTTCGTTGTAGAAACTGCAGTAATATGAGTTTAAATGTAGGCATTTTCACCCCTACCGAGGCATTGAAAAATCACATTCTTTATACTTTCTACTAGTACTTTGGGAAAACTGTTTTTCTCACATGTGATTTTTTTTTTAACTTCAAGCCAAAACATAACGATACCTGAGATCAACCTATCTCGGCAGCCAGTTCGAAAACGCCCTATTTCAGAATTTGGTTGAAGAGCGCCCTATCTCAACACATTTTCAATGTATTTTCAGCTGAGAGAGGGCGCCTTTCAGTCAAATCCTGAAGTAGGGCATTCTTGAAAAGTTTTCTGAGATAGGCCGAGATAGGTTGATCTTTCTTCACTCAGGTGTCGATATTGACTTAAGCCAAGTTCCAAAATAATTTGGCATTTCTTTTATATAATTTTTAGGGTTTTACTCTATTAAAAAAAAAACCTGCACTCTACAGCGCGTCGCATTTTGCTCAGCCCCCAAAAAGGCACCAGCAGCATTCACATTTCGCCCACTCTCGTTGCCCCTCACCAAAACTTAGTTGGTGCACACGCTTGCTCTGTGCTCCTTTTACGAAAAGTTTCCGCTTTAAATTTACTGCCTACTTGCTGCAATTTGTAATTAATTTTTCATTCCGCTTAAAATTACACATGAGTTTGTTTTTAACTTTTTATTCTTTTTATTATTTATATTAAATACTAAAAACTAAATAAATTGTAATTATTATTATTTATGCATTTATTCCAGTAACTGCCTTTACATAATTTTTCTTTCGTTTAAATTCTCTGCATCAAACTCTTTGTTTTTTTTAAATAATTTTTCTCAACTCTACAAATGTAGCTTTATTTTATTTATGTATTCTTTCCTTTTTCTTTTTAACTACGAAAAGTGTCAAGTTTTAATTTTTAGGGAAAAGGAAAGAATTGCCTTTATGCTAAAATTTTAATAGTGGTTGTTGTTTGTAGTGTGTTTGCATTTATTATTTAATTTATATATTTTATAAACGTACATATGTATATATAGATTTATGTGTATATGTATACAGAAGTGTATATATGATATTAATTCTTTTTTTTTTGCAAGTATACTGTTTGCAAGCTATAAAATAATAGTTAATTAGGGTGTGTATGTATTATATACGCGTGTGTATGTGTGGCACTGTGTTGGTAACCGTGTTTTTGCATATCTTTATATATATATTTTTCTGCTTTTACAATTTACGCTTGTAACAAATACACATAGTCAAACCAAACATCTTGTCAAGAATTGTTGTTGTTTTTTTTGCAGTTTATTCTATTATTTTTGCGGCGTCCACACAAATCACCACCGCGCTAGTAATAACATAAGTATATAGTAGTTATTATATGAAAACTATGTAAACATATAAATCTATGTGTGTATGTGTGCTTGCGTGTGTATTTGTTTTGTTTCTTTAAAAAAAAATGCTGCTATTATTTTTTAATTGTCTATGCAACTATGTACTATTTAATTTTGTTTGTGTGTATTTTCATTCTGTATGGACTCTCTAACTGATTACCATTTTATATTAGCATTTTATTATTTTTATTATTTTTTTTATCAGCATCAGTTATGTTTATTCATCTGCTTTGTTACTTTTCCNTCATTCTGTATGGACTCTCTAACTGATTACCATTTTATATTAGCATTTTATTATTTTTATTATTTTTTTATCAGCATCAGTTATGTTTATTCATCTGCTTTGTTACTTTTCCTACTACACCTAAACCAACTTCTGCTCGTTCCAATTCATTATCATCGTCATCATCGGCTTCTTCTTCTTCCTTTCCTCCGTCAACTATCAATTGCTAAATATTAATAGTAAAAAAAAATGTTGACNACATCTTGTCAAGAATTGTTGTTGTTTTTTTTGCAGTTTATTCTATTATTTTTGCGGCGTCCACACAAATCACCACCGCGCTAGTAATAACATAAGTATATAGTAGTTATTATATGAAAACTATGTAAACATATAAATCTATGTGTGTATGTGTGCTTGCGTGTGTATTTGTTTTGTTTCTTTAAAAAAAAATGCTGCTATTATTTTTTAATTGTCTATGCAACTATGTACTATTTAATTTTGTTTGTGTGTATTTGCATTCTGTATGGACTCTCTAACTGATTACCATTTTATATTAGCATTTTATTATTTTTATTATTTTTTTTATCAGCATCAGTTATGTTTATTCATCTGCTTTGTTACTTTTCCTACTACACCTAAACCAACTTCTGCTCGTTCCAATTCATTATCATCGTCATCATCGGCTTCTTCTTCTTCCTTTCCTCCGTCAACTATCAATTGCTAAATATTAATAGTAAAAAAAAATGTTGACCGCTGCGTTATTTCTCTTTACATCGTCATCCCGTTACTATGCTTTATCTTACATACTACTAAATTTAATTTTATTTTAATGCATTACTATTCCCTTTTGACTCCTCCCACGCGCATACATCGCCTTTATATCCGTCTGGTAGTCAAATATGTATGTATACACCATATTTAAAATTTCTACATCAGCATTGAATAGTTGGATTTGCATAGTTTCCTTCGATGGATTCATTTGCTGGTGTCGTTGGTAGCTAATAACTCCATACGGATTGAACTCTTGCGCTGGATTTTCACTGCTCACTATTTATATATTGATCACAAACCTGCATTACTTTAGGCTAGCACTAATTGTTTTTTCGTAATTTTTTTACTGCTCGGATTTTTTATTTATTAAAGCGATTCTTCAAAGGCCGCCATCAGATCACTTTGCATATTCATATCGATTTGGCCAGCCATCTGGAAGAGAAGAAATTCAAAAAGTTTGAATAGAAGCGGTATAATTAGTAATTCTCATGTCAAAATAAAAAAGGAAAGAAAGGATATGGCGTGTTTTTGAAAAAAATTAGATTTGATATCAGACACTTAGCGAACATTTTTTTATAAATCGATAACTTGTATAAAGCGATAACTAGATAATTTTTTTATTTAGATAATTTTTATATCGAATTAATTAAAACTGATAATTTAAAATTATCGATAATTTTCATAAATTCAGAATGCATAAAAACAATGTTATTTATAAGATTATTTTAAAAATTCAGTTTTAAAGAGCCGTTATTTTTGTAACTAGAAAAATTAATGAATAATTACTATAAATCGATATTTTGGTATTTCTCCAAATCGATTATCTTAAAAATCGATCATTAAATTTAGATTTTTATAAATCGTTAATGATAACGATAATTTGTATAAATCGATCATTTTGTATTAATCGTTAATTTGTATAAATTTAAAATTTTTATAAATCGATAATCTCTATAAATCGATGATTTCTTACAGGTCCTGCAATTCACTTCCCCGAATGCATTTCAACCAAATTCAAAGGAAATTCCGTTGAAATCCACTCGGAAGGGAGTTGCAAAATCTGTCTGTATAAGTCGATAATTTTAGAATATCAAATACGACCTTCAATCGAAAACAATATTTATCGAAATTATCGAGTTATGTACTTAAATTGATGCATAAAGAATCTGTACTCAGAAATAGCATTTTAAGAAACTCTTACCGCTTCGCGTCGGCGCCGCTCCTGTTCAAGACGTCGCAACTCCGCACGCCTTGCCGCGGCGCGATCCTGTGGCGATTGTTGTGCCGCACCGGCCGGTGAGCCACTGCCCTGCGGCGATGCTTTGATATCGTCTACGCGTGAATTTTGCACTTGAGTGGCTTCATGGACACTTTTTCTAAAAAAAGGTCATCGAAATTTTCATAAACTTCTACGAGTATTAACACCTTCGATCCCACTCACCTCCCGCTTTCCATGGTGACATCCACTGCCGCCGAGTGCAAGTGTCCAGCTCCACTGCTGCTTACCGCATGACCATGACCGTGGCTGGTGTGTCCATGTGTGTGTCCATGCGTATGCGCCGACTGTGAGAGCACTGCTGCCGCAGCGGATGTGTGATGGCTAGCGCCACCACCACTGCCACCGCCCGCTCCACTGGCGCTTCCCACACCCACAGCATTACCACCACCGCTTACACCAACACCTATAACATTGGCACTTGCACCACTGCCAGCGCTGTTGCCATTACCCGTCACACCACCACCCACGCCAATTGCGCCCAAAGGTTGTTTGTGGTGCTGCTTACGCTGCTCTTTCTCTGCGGCTTCCTTTTGACGTTTCTGCTCCTTCTCGGCCGCCTCCAGCAACTTCAGGCGATCGGCCTTCTCTTTGGCTTTGTTGCGGAACTGTTGGAACGAGTCCATGGCGGGCTTGGGCTTATTCGAAGTGGGCGTATTCTGCGGCGAACTGGCCGATGCAAGTGACGACCAAGAACTGGCGTTTTTAAGGTTCTGCTCGTGTGCCGACTTAAAAGCTTGCGCGAAATTCGCCTGATTGGCGCCTAATGCGCTGCCACTGCCCATACCAGCCGAAGTAGGTATCTTCAAATCGGATGGCGATTGTTGTGACTGCGCAACCTGCTGTGCCGACTGATGCTGCTTCTTCTCCGGTGGACTAGGCATCATCGATTCGATGGGCTTGGGTGTGATTAGCAACTTATTGGGATGTAGTTGCTGTTGTGATTGCAGCAATTGTTGTGCCATCTGATGGTCGCTTAAGCCAAGCGCATTTGCGGCATCTTTTTTACTACCGGGGAGCGACAAATTGCCAGGCATTCCGGGTGCGCCACCGCCCATCATCATGGCAGCGAGGAAGTCATTGTGACCGCCTCCCATCGAAGGCAATTGTTCGAAAATTGATCCAGTGCCGCTACCGCCGGGATGCGACAATCCCAGACCCGCCAAAGCCAGGCTGTCTAATGCTCGATCGGCAGCGCTATTGTAACCGTTATTATGCGCGTGTTGTTGCTGCTGTTGGTGGTGTTGTTGTTGCTGATGTGCCATGGCTTGTTGCAGCTGCTGTGCGGCCACCGCCGCTGCCATAGTGCTGATGCGGTTATTTAGACCCTCGCCTAAACCCAGTTGCATTAGCGGGAAATGATTGCCATTCATGCCGGATACGTTGTCCGCAGCACCCTTTGACAATAGCTCCGACATTAGTTCCATATGATGATGATTGGCAGCGTGAGGAAGCTGTGTCGCCTGCTGCTGCTGCCCTTGCGACTGCTGTAAGTTGCCGAACGTCTGCTGCACCGATGCATTCTGTCCATGATTGCCATGCGTGAGCGCCTGAGGCTGCTGTTGCTGCTGCATCAGATGTGCGTTCATAAGGAAGTTGTCGGCCACGCTTTTGCCTGAGGCTGCTTGAAGCAAGGGCTGCTCCAACGATGCCAGAGACTGTTCAACGGGATCATCAAATTGTGGAATTTGCTTGAGACCAGCAGTCAGCAGAGATGATGCTGCCGAGGAAGGTACCGATGCGACAGACGAGGGCGCAGTAACGACAGCGGCGGGCGGATGCAAACCGCCAACCAACGAACCACCACCGCCTATGCTGGCATTAGGCATACCCGAAGGAAGTATACCAATGCCCGGGCCGCCTACGCCAGACGCATCAGCAACATCCATCGGCGTCGACGATGGCAGTTTGTGTAAATTGCTGGCAACGCGGATGCCGCCAATGTTTGTTGTAGTTGTGGTGTTGTTACCGCCTGTGCTGCTGTTCGTTTGTGATGTGGTAAGTAGTGAGCCAGTCAACGAGCCTGCGCTTGCAGATGATGCGGCGAGGAGGGCGGTTGCACTGGACACCGCTGACATTGTTAAGTCATTGGGACCATTGCTACCACCGACGCCAATGCAACCACCACCGGCTATACTACTGTTGCTTATTGTTGTTGCAGCTGTAGTAATAGCCCCAGGTGCTGCGGTTGGGGCGATGGTGCCTCCGGGGATAACGTTTAGCCCACTACCTATCGAAGTCGGTGTTAATGTCGTTTTGCTGCTGTTGTTGTTGTTAAGTAGAGCAACAGCAGTCATGGCTGGATCCGTGGCAGCACCTGCAAGCGTCGTTGCCGTTGTCGTGGAAGTAACACTCACTGAAGGTTTGGACAATGACAATCGACATGGCACGAACGAAGGAATTTACAGTGTAGTAGCAGGCATGATAAACGAAAAGAGGAGAAAGGAAGGATATGGTATGTCTCTTAGTAAACAAAAAAAATACAGGGTATATTCAAGGCAATTATTTTGGACAATGCTACGCATCTACATCAAAACCGATTACAATAAGGTACCAATTTAGATACCCAATATTTTATACTAAATTAAAGAAAACGGAAATTTTCAAAAAAAAAATTACAATTTGGGCCTGTTCGAGGCACGTAATAAAAGCGGCATTACTGCCGTACTGATGAAAAATGGCAACATTGGTGCAACTGCCCAACTGATAATACATTGCTAGAAATTCACACAGAACGGGATACTTTAATAATTCGCGCAACACTGCGGTTGTGATTGCAACTCGAACAAGCCCTTTATCGAAGTCAAATATCCGCATAACTATACTCTTTATCGAAATTGACAACTTAACGAAATTTATAATTTATCGAAATTGATAGTTTATGGAACTAGAACGATTTACAGATGCATTCAGTTAAAACCAACCATTTAAGCACAAGAGATGGAAGTGGCTTACGTCACTTTCAAAATAAACGGCTCAATTTATCGAAATTTACCAAAAAATATAACCGATTAATGCTAAATTTTCGATAACAACCCTTCTTTAGTAAATGTATATATATACATACAGTGGCGAACAAAAGTATTGGCACAGTGAATTTTTCGCAATATTTGCAAAGTTTTTTATTTTAATTTATTTTCGATCATTTTTTATAAAAATATAGTTCATTTTACACCAAAAAACATAAAAATAAAATCTCTAAACTTTGTGCAAAACTCAGGAAAATTCATTAAATTTGCACACTAATTTGCAACTTTTTATTCAGATTTTTTAGAAAAATTCTAAGTATGCAGTTTTATAGCCCATTCAAATTTAGTATAACAATGTGCAAGCTAGAAGACGCTAGAAAATCGCGTTGATTTTTGGCAATTTTTTAGTGGAAGGTGTTGCTCATTTTCCCCATACAAAAATCATTGTCGAATATACTTTGTATGGAAGAACTTGCCTGAAAAAAATTACCAAAAATCAACGCAATTTTCTAGCGTCTTCAAACTTGCACATTGTTATACTAAATGGGCTATAAAACTGCATACTTGGAATTTTTCTAAAAAATCTGAATAAAAAGTTGCAAATTAGTGTGCAAATTTAATGAATTTTCCTGAGTTTTGCACAAAGTTTAGAGATTTTATTTTTATGTTTTTTGGTGTAAAATGAACTATATTATTATAAAAAAGTATCGAAAATAAATTAGAATAAAAAACTTTGCATATATTGCGAAAAATTCACTGTGCTAATACTTCTGTTCGGCACTGTATATATGTATAGGTAGGTACACACATATGTATGTATGTAAATAAAAACAATAATCGCCATAGCAAGTCTACCCCACCCATCCCAATCCTCCTTACGTTGTGCTCCACTGCTGGCCGCGTTTAGCTGTGATGTGGGTGTGGTCATAGGTGGCACCAAAGTTTTGGTACTTGGCGTTGTTACCGCCGTAGCTAGCGCCCCGGCCATTGTCGTTTGTAGTTGTTGTGGCTGCTGCGCTGGATTTATTGTTTGCTGCGTAGCGGCAGATATTGTGGACGTAATTGAGGTTGTTGCTGCAGGATTGCCACCAATGCTGCCAACAGTACTAGTGAGGACAACATTGGTCGGTGTTACAGTTGAATTATTTACCTGTACAGTGATGGAGGCAAGATAAAAAAAAAAACAATAACATAAAACAATGAGGAGGAAAAGTTATCGACTTATCGAACCTTTAATAGAATGAGTGGAGATGTTCCAAGGATATGATTGGTATACACTCTCAAAGGATACACAAAATAAACAAGAGGGTTTTGTTGTTGTTGATATTGTGTATCGCGTATGAGTGAGTGAGTGTTGTGTACACATAACTCTATGCTATTGAACTAGGTTTGTATTTGAGAGAGGCGCTCGTACTTACATTATTGCTGCCACTCGAATCGCGGGATTTCTTCTTTCTCGGTGGACGACTATCAACATCACCTGTGCGCGTTAAAAAAAAAATAATAATAATAATTGATTGAAATTTTCGAAACTGCATACCTCAAGTATAAATAATGAGTATACCTGCGGCTACGTTGTCGAATTTTTATACATGTTTCGATAGGAGAGCTGCAAGAGAAAAAATCGTTCGAGCAATTTGCGCATGTCGAAGGAAAACTACTGGACGACTCTTTCTGCTACTACCCATTAGTCGATCAACCATTAAACAATGCTTCACTCTCCTAAATACCCAACTTCTAACTTGGAATGTAATCGTTCGATTTATCAGAAAATATTCGATTAAATTCTTACCGTTTCGTAGACACATTTTTTAAATTATTTTGAGAATTATAAGAAATAATTGATCAAATAGTCGATAACATACAAATATAAAAAAATCGGCTACCAAAAATAATTGATTTTATGAAAAGGATAGATTGATTAATTAAGAAAGGTGAATCGAAATTTCTTAAATATAATAAATTGTACATGGAAAATAATCGATAGCGTGAAACTTGTCGATGCACAAAAAATTTATGATAGCGTAAAAGTCGATAACATAAAAATAATTGACGCAGAAACAATCGATAAAACAAAATATCGTTACTATCAAAACTATCACCTCTTAAAACTAATCATTGACTAAGAAATTGTCGATAACATTGAAATAAATTAATGAATTAAAAAGAAACCGATAATGGAAATATAATTGATATCACAATGAAATAATAATCGCTACCAAATCAATACCCAACAAATCGACTTCACAAAAATAAAGAACTTAACCAAAAATCACACACAGTTGTATTTGATAAAGAAATACAAATTTTATAAGCATTCGATAACAGAAATAACTTCATCGAAAATAAATGTTTACCAAATATCTCGTTTATGTAAAATTAATCGATATTAACAAAAAGTTTGAAACCATGTAAGCATCGTTTACAAAAACAATTGATATCATGGACAGATAAGTTACACAAGGCGACAACTGAAAGTGTACACCTTATTCTAATATAATATTCAGAACTATTTTCTTGAAAAATTTTTTCATTATTTATTTATGAAAATATAGTTTCACACTTTATTTAAAGTTCACAAAAATTCAATAAATGTTCATCAAAACTTTCAACTTTTTATTCAGAATTTCTAGAAAATTTTCGAGTATGCAATTTGTAGCGCATTCAATTTTAGTCTAATAAAGGGCAAGTTTCAATCGGCTGAAAAATCCCGTTGATGTTTGCGATTTTTTTTTGTTTTTGCACTTAAGTTACATATGTAGGAATAATAGGATTTTTTAATTTTCTGCGTGAACCCGCCAAATAAAACAAAAATGCGAAAAAACTGGGAAAAAATATTAAATTGGTTATAAATATTATAAATTATAAATTTACTATTAAATATATTGTGTCAGCAAGAAATTGAACTAGTTAAAAAAAAAATGATTTTTACTTAACTAAGAAATTTAAAAGTTGCATAAATATATTAGAAAAAGGGGTATAAACTAAGATTACTTGATTAAATTAAAACAAATGCTTAGAAACTACTAAATATTTGTATTATTTTCCAAAATTGCTAAAAGCGCACTTCTCTTCAGAAGAAAAGTCTAAAATTAAAGAAAAATAAATAAAAACTTCTCTCGAAAAAAATACAACCAACAAAAGCCGAATTATCCAAAAGTAAAGAAATCCTTTTTAAATTAAAAAAAAAAAACTTTTTCTAAAAATACCGTAAATCATACAAAAATATTGTCTAGAGTAAACTTTCCAAAAGAATTATTATAATTGTCAATAGAGCCCCTTTAGTAATATCCAAATTTGCAACTACATAGAAAGGAATCATTGCATACAAATAAGAAAAAAAGAAAACTCAGCTACTTGAATACAGCCATGCAACAGTTACGTAAGCAACATAAAAACTAAATTCATTCAACAAAAAAATAACAGCTGATAAAGAATAATTGAAAAAAAGAGAAATCATCCAGGCAGATATCGAAAAATTGCATATGTTAAAAGGGAATAAATAAATTAATATTCACACATACTTACTAAAATTTTCTCTTACACACGTTTTCAATGTGTAGAGAAAGAGCAAAAAAAGAAGGTAGCAAAAGTAATTTAAAAAACAAAAACGCTAAGCGGGAAATTATAAAACCGCGTTGGCGTGAGTAAGAAAACAAGCAAGCAAGCGACAACATTAACATCAACAGCAACAACA